TCAGTATCAGTCAGTATATTTGGAGTAAATGACCGAAGCCCTTAAAAACTCCTGTCAAACATTGGGCTACCAGAATCTGTGTTGCACGGCCTCGTCCAGTTTTCCTTGCCCTACGTGACCAAGTTCACGGTGCAATTCGCGTAATACGCTGTGTGAATGAAAAGGAGGGAGGACGAGGCGGACTGGGGATTGAGGATCGTAGTGAAAATAAAGTACGTGATCTCCGATGAACAAGTCATGTCAGAATACCCACACAGCTTGCGCTTTGCGTCTTTCCCGGCCATCTGATTTTTTGAGGTTTTGATGGAGTCTCGCGCGAAACTGTCGTAGATGAGACCCAAGTATGGGTCATTGGCCTGGTGGCTAGCCATGTTTACGGTCGTAGGGGTCATTGGCAGGGTACTAAGGTCGAGGTCCAGACAACCAGCGCAGCTGTGGGGTTCGCACCTGGGAATTCGCGACAACGCATCTGCGTTGATGTGTTGTTTCCAGGAGCGATGTACGACTTTAAAATCGAAGTCCGCTAGCGTCTCCTGCTACCGCGCTACTTGTCGTTCAGGTTTCTGAAAACTTTGTAGCTCTTGAGGGACTGAATGATTCCTCTTGATGACAAACGGCTTACTTGTAGGGAAGACGGCAAATTTTTCGGTAAAGCAAACCAAAGCCAACATCTTCCGGCGTGTGGCGATATAGTTTCGTTCAGATTTATCGAGGGTACGACTGCCATATTGGATGACGGGTTCCCTACCTTCGGAATCTGCCTGGAACAGCACACTGCAGATCGCATGTCTACTGACGTCTGTATCGAGGATAAAAAGGGGACTGCTGCGGCTCAGCCCCGGGAAAGCAAGGATTGAAGCCGCGGTCAGGGCTTACTTGAGGTGGACGAAAGCGCTTTCATATTCGGTTTTCCACCGGAATGTCCACGATTTCTCAGTGAGCCCGGTAAGAGGGAAAGCAAGGCGGTGATATGGCGGGATGAAGGCCCTGTTGCAGCCTGCCAGGCCGAAGAATGAGCGGATCTCGTCTCGGATGGCTAGTTATGGCCAATTTGTAACGATCTGGACCTTGTCGGCATGAGTTGTGAGGCCCTGGCTGCTAGTGATGTGGCAGAGGAATGGAAGTTCTGTTTGAAGTAATTTGCACTTCCTTGGACTGAGTGTTAGAGCCTCTGACAGGTTGTCGAGGAGTTCTAAAGCGGTGGCTACCCTCACGATTACGTTCTACAAGTACACGAGGCACTTAGATGGGCACAGATTTTGCATTATTTTCTGCATAAGGCTGCTGGCGCGGCTTTCGAATTTGAGCCACCCATTTTTTTTGCTCTCCATTCACG